TCCCATTGCAGTTTTAATTTGCATTTCGCTGGCAATTATTAATGTTGAATACTTCTTCGTGTATCTGTTGGCTATTTGTATGTCATCTTTTGGGAAATGTCTCTTTCAGGTCATTTGACTATTTTAAAAATTGGGTTATCTCTTTTCTTGCTGTTGAGTTGAGTTCCTTATATATTTTAGATGTTCAAAGAAGTATGGTCATCAGAAGTATGGTTTGCACATACTCTTTCATTTTGTAGGTTGTGTTTTTACTCTGTTGACTGTTTCCTTTTCTTTGTATAATCTTTCCAGATTTTTTTTTTTTTTTTTTGAGACGGAGTTTCGCTCTTGTTACCCCGGCTGGAGTACAATGGCGTGATCTCGGCTCACCGCAACCTCCGCCTCCCGGGTTCAGGCAATTCTCCTGCCTCAGCCTACTGAGTAGCTGGGATTACAGGCACACACCACCATGCCCAGCTAATTTTTTTTGTATAGTTTTAGTAGAGATGGGGTTTCACCATGTTGACCAGGATGGTCTCAATCTCCTGACCTCGTGATCCACCCGCCTCGGCCTCCCAAAGTGCTGGGATTACAGGCGTGAGCCACCGCGCCCGGCCATCTTTCCAGATTTTTATGGTTTGTATCCCAGTCTTTAAGTTGTCTTGGCCATGCTTAGCAGTATGTCTTTTGATCTGTTCAAAGCAGTCAACACAGATTTCATAGAAATAATAACATCCTTTTTGCACTTACTGGTTTGGGTTGTAACTAATTAAATTATCTACAGTTAACAGAACAGGCATAATTATAAGGCAGATTTGGAAACACAAACCACTGGTTCTTGATAGTCATTCAGTTCAACAGGTAGGTGTGGAGATGTGCTTGTATATTGGAAAATAGCTCTACTGCCTGAAATGGCATTTGGTAATCTGTGGTTATGTCAGTCTGTTTTATGGCGGGGGCTGGTGGGGGGGGGTCTCACTAGCATAGGTCACTATAGTCCAGGAGTCCCCAAACTATGGCCCGCGGGCTGCATGTGGCCCTCTGAGGCCCCTGAGGCCATTTATCCAGCCCCCTGCGCACTTCAGGAAGGGGCACCTCTTTCATTGGTGGTCAGTGAGAGGAGTACGGTATGTGGCAGCCCTCCAATGGTCTGAGGGACAGTGAACTGGCCCCCTGTGTAAAAAGTTTGGGGATGCCTGCTATAGTCAGTTGAGTAGAGTGTTGCCAAGAAAATTTAATGCTACTTTCTTTGAAGAGGAGTATGATGCAGATTCTTAGGGTGCCTACTGTAAGTTGGTTGCTATAGGTCTGTTTTTTGGCCAGCTTACAGTGTTTTCTCGTGTGTGTGTGTGATGGTATAGATAGCAGATGTTTGTGAGAGGTGGCCAATTTTATGGCTAAGAAGATGGATTGACCTAGGATTATCTAGATCCTCTGAGAACAATTAGCCATGGCTCAGCACCAGGCCCCAGCACTGAGGAGGGGGACCATGCACTCTGGGTTGAATTATGTCAGATGGATCCTGATGCCACTGCTTCTAAATACTTCCACCAGATGGTGGCACACAGAGTATGCTCATTAAGATTGTGAAATGGTATTTAATTGATATATAGATGGCTCAATAGAAAAGTTGATTAAATTTCAGAATACCTTATGGTTTAGGAAAGTTGATGAATATACGTATGGCAAGATAATTTTCTTAAGGAAAGTAAATAGTTGTTGAAGTTAGGTATGGGAGTAGTTTTTGTACTACACATGAATAGTGCAAAGTATCCCAAAGTGCTGAGAACACCAGTTAAATAATGGTCATTGATAACGCTTTTGTAGTTGGTCCGAGTGTTGTGGGTCATTGTTAAGTGGATAATGGTTTTGAATTCAAAATCATTGGTAAGAAGTCATGTAATTGGAATGGTGCTTATGGAAATTACAGGGCTTCACTGTATTTGGTGTTAGACCTTCACAGTGCAAGCAAATGTCCTGAGTGAGAAAACTGAAAAACTAGTAAATAGTCCTGTAGCTGAATGTTTTAGTAGATACTTAACTTAGAAATAGGAGGAAGTTTAATAATTTTCTTAGTAGATGATACAGATATTATACAATATCTGTCTTGCAGATATTGCAGTTTCTGTTCCTGACCACCACAGCATAGCACAAGTTACACAAATGTTTTAGTTTCCGAGTACATATAAAAGTTTTGTTTATACCATACTGTAATCTGTTAAGTAAAATAGCATTATGTCTAAAAAATAGACATACTTTAATTAAAATATACTTTGGGTTAAAAATATGCTAACAGTCATCTGAACCTTGAGTGAAGCACAGCTTTTTGCTGGTGGAGGATCTTGCCTTGATCAAGGTGGTGGTTGCCAAAGGCTGAGTGGGGTCTCTGGCATCTCTGGCAAGTTCCTAAAATAAGACAACAATGAAGTTTTCTGCATCAGTTGCCTCTTTTTCATGAAAGATTTCTCTATAGAATGTAATGCTGTTTGATAGCATTTTACCCACAGCAGAACTCCTTTCAGAATTGGAGTCAATCCTCTCAAACCCTACTGCTGCTTTATCAGCTGAGTTTATGTAATACTCTAAATTCTTTGTTTGTTCAACAGTGTTTACAACATCTTCACCAGGACTAGAGTCTATCTCAAGAAACCATTTTCATTACTCATTCGTAAGAATCAAATCCTCATTCATTTTGATTTCATTATGACATTGCACTGATTCAGTCACATCTTCAGGCTCTACCTCTGATTTTAGTTCTCTTGCCGTTTGTACCACATCTGCAGTTATTTCCTCCACTGAAATCTGGAACCCCTCAGAACCATCCATGAGAGTTGGAAACAACTCCCAAACTCCTGTGAATGTGGCTCTTTTGACCTCTTCCCATGAATCAAAAATGTTCTTAAGGGCAACTAGAATGTTGAGTCCTTTACAGAAAATTTTCTGTTTACTTTGCCAGGATCCATCAGAGGAATCACGGTCTATGGCAGCTATATTCTTTTTTTTTTTTTTTGAGATGGGAGTTTCACTCTTGTTGCCCGGGATGGAGTGCGATGGCGCAATCTTGGCTCACTGCAACCTCCACCTCCTAGGTTCAGGCGATTCTCCTCCTATCTCAGCCTGCTGAATAGGCGGCACTACAGGTGCAGCCCGCTATGCCCAGCTAATTTTTGTTTTGTATGTTTAGTAGAGATAGGGTTTTGCCATGTTGACCAGGCTGGTCTCAAACTCCTGACCTTAAGTGATCTGCCCACCGTAGCCTCCCAAAGTGCTGGGATTGTGGGTGTCAGTCACTGCGCCTGGCCTGCAGCTATGTTCTTATGAAATGTATTTCTTAATAAGACTTGAAAACTGAAATGATTCCTTGATCTGTGGGCTGCGGAATGGATCTTGTGTTTGCAGGCATGAAAACAACATTCATCTTCTTGTACATCTCCTTCAGAGCCCATGGGTGACCCTTGTGCGTTGTCAGTGAGCCAGTAGTGTTTTCAAAGGAATCTTTTTTCTGAGCAGTAGTTTTCAACAGTGAGCTTAAAATATTCAGTAAACCATCCTGTAAACAGCTGTGCTATCTTCATACCCTGTTGTTCTGTCTCTAGAGCACAGACAGAGTAGATTTAGCATAGTTTTGTTGTTGTTGTTTTGTTTTTGAGACAGGGTCTCATTCTGCCACCCAGGCTGGGGTGCCGGAGTGCATGCAGTGGTGTAGTCTTGGCTAACTGCAACCTCTTCCTCCTGTGTTCAAAAAATTCTCATATCTCAGCCACCTGAGTAGCAGGGATTACAGGTGTGCACCACCACACCTGGGTAATTTTTGTGTTTTTAGTAGAGATGGGATTACAGATACTGGCCAGGCTGATTTCAAAATCCCGGTCTCAAGTGATCAGCCTGCCGTGGCCTCCCAAAGTGCTGGGATCACTGGGATCACAGGTATGACACATAATTCTTAAGGGCCCTAGGATTTTTGAAATAGCAGATGATCACTGGCTGCTTAAAGTCACCAGCTGCCTTAGTCCTTAACAAGAGAATCAGCTGATTCTTTGAAACACTGAAACCTGGTACTGACTTATCCTTTCTAGCTGTAAAGTCCTATGTAGCATCATTTTCTAGTACAAGTCTGTTTCATTGACACTGAAAATCTGTTTAGTGTAGCCACCTTCATTTTAGCTAGACCTTTTGGATAACTTGTTGCAGCTGTACAACAGCACTTGCTGCTTAACCTTGCATTTTTGTTATCGAGATAGCTTTTTTAAAACTTCATGAACCAACCTCTGCCATCTTCAGACTTCTTTTCTGCAACTTCTTCATTTCTCTCAGCCTTCATAGAATTGAAGAGAGTTAGGTTCTTGTTCTGGATTAGTATTAGGGTTTAAGGGAATATTGTGGTTGGTTTGATCTTCTCTCTTGATCACTAAAATTTTCTCCATAGAAGCAGTAAGGCTATTTCACCCTCTTATCATTCGTGTGTTCACTGGAGTAGCATTTTAAATTTCCCTTCAGAACCTTTGCTTTACATCCACAACCTGGCTAACTGACATAAGAGGCCTAGCTTTAGGCCTTTCTTGGCTGTCAACATGCCTTTCTCATTAAGCTTAATCATTTCTAGTTTTTGATTTAAAGAAAAAGACGTGTGATACTGTTTTTTTTCCCCATTGAACACTTAGAGGACATTGTAGCATTATTGGCCTAATTTTAATATTGTCCCAAGAAAATGGGAGAGAGATGGAGGCATGGCCAATTGGCAGAGTGATCAGAACACACATAGCATTTATTGATGAAGTTTGCTCCTGCAGTTTTCACAAATGTGTGAAACTTGACTGCATAATTTGTGGTAGTGGGAGACTGCATTTGCACTCTCCCCTGAGGCTATTTTTTTTTTTAACTTTGAACTAAATTTTATTAACAGTAAGCATATTAATAAGCAAACCCTTTAAAATGTGGCATAAAAGGCTGGGTGCAGTGTGGCTCAGGTCTGTAAATCCAACACTTTGGGAGGTGGAGGCAAGTGGATCACGGGAGCGCAGGAGTTCGAAACCAGTCTGGACAACGTGGCAAAACCCTGTCTATTTCTGATAAATCCATGTTGTCCGAAAGAGACTTCCTTTCAGCTTTCTGACATCTTATCAAGAATTAGTAGAGGGGCAAGAATTCTTGCCCTGTTAGTTTCCACAATGCAGCCATTTAACACCATCTCATCCAAAATGATGTGTACTTTATCTAAATTAAACATTATATCTGATTCACTCACTTGGCTGAAATACTCACCTAAAACTTCCGCAAAGTTATGAATGAATTCATAAATAGCCATCTCGTTCTCAGTGTCATTAACTCCAACCACAATGAAGAGAGCTGCATACTGCCGATATATCAGCTTAAAATCCTTATGTTCAATGAAAGAGCATTGTTCATTGGATCGAGAGAGACAGCTCTTTGTGACTTCTGTTTCCAGAAGCGTACGCTTATTAACATCCACATGTTCGTAGTACTTAGAAAGTCGCGTCTGCCCTTGTTTATTCACCATGAGGAAAAATTTTATCATTTTTCTTTCTTGGCCAGTATTTTTCCAAATATAGTTTAAAAGTTATATAAGGGATGGCTGTAATTGGAACCTGTGCTACTCGGGGTGTGATAGTCTTCTCAGCGGCTTTCCTGGAGTTCTCCTCCCTCTTTCCCGCAGAAGCTTGCTCCCCAGCCTTCACTAGCTACACTGTGTGGGCCTCCTCAGGGCAGCCATTTTGGCTTTTAGTATCTGTTGTTTTTTTTTAACTTAAAAAATATATATATGTATTTTTTTTGAGACCAAGTTTTGTTCTTGTTGCCCAGGCTGGAGTATAATGATGGGATCTCAGCTCACTGCAACCTCTGCCTCCTGGGTCCAAGCGATTCTCCTGTCTCAGCCTCCTGAGTATCTGGGATTACAGGCATATGCCACCACACCTGGCTAATTCTTTATTTTTAGTAGAGGCAGGGTTTTACCATGTTGGTCAGGCTGGTCTCAAACTCCTAACCTCAGGTAATCTGCCTCTTAAAGTGCTGGGATTACAGGCATAAGCCACTGTGCCTGGCCGCTATATGTTTTTTTATTTTTCTTTTTTTTTTTTTAGCTTAAGAAAGTTTGCTGGCTTGTAAGGACATAGTTTATGGTGTCCCAAAACAATGACTAGTAACATTAAAGATGCTGATTATAGATCACCATTGTAGATATAATAATAATGAAAATGTTTGAAATATTGCGAACTTTATCTAAATGTGAAACAGATATGAAGTTAACACATGCTGTTGGAACAAAGACTTTCTCAATGCAGGGTTTCCATAAACCCTCAACTTGTAAAAAGTGCAATACCTGCAAAGTGTGGTAAACTACAGTGCTGTGAAACAATATATGTGATGTATAATTGCAGTGGTCTCCCTTTTTCCATGTTTTCACACTCTGCAGTTTCTGGTACCTGTAGTCAACCATGGTATAAAAGTATTAAATGGAAAACTCCCGAAATAAACATAAGCTTTAAGTTGCACATCATTCTGAATAGCGTGATGGAATCTCATGCAGTCCTGCCCTATCCTGTCCCGGTTGCGAATCATTCCCTTCTCCAGCATATCCACACTTTGTATGCACTATTTGCCTGTTAGTAGCTGTCTTGGTTTTCAGGCAGACTGTCATGGTATCTGTCATGGTATCTCAGTGCTTGTGTTTAAGTAATCCCATTTTACTTAATAGTGACCCCAAAGCACAAATGTAGTGATGCTGATACAGTGTTAAAACGGTTCTGTTAATTATTGTTGTTAATCTTTTATTGTGTCTGATTTATAAATTAGGAAATCTTTTTGTGTCGGAAGAACACAATATATATAGAGTTCAGTACTACCCATGATTTCAGGCTTCTGCTGGGAGTCTTGAAATGTATCTCTCAAGGATAACGGGATCATTTGTGATGTCATTGTGTGATTATAGATTTATAGAATGTTAGTGGTCACTGGTCTAAATAACTCACTTTATTTTAATGGGTGACTAAACCCAGTTGTGAGGTTCCACCTTCAAGCTAAGCCCTTTCTTCCCAGGTGATTGCTCTTAACACTACCCCTGTAGCTACTGTTTTTACCCTGATGACATAATTATAAGGACGTTTACAACAGTGGGAGGAGTATGTGTTAGGCATTAGAAATTTATGATTACGGGGGCAGTAAAATATGATCCAGAAGAAGCAATAGAATCTCTGGTGATTGTAGAAAATGAATACTTTAAGTCTTTGGGGCAGAGATAGAAAAGATGTACTCTTGAGTTCCCTCCTGTTTTGAGTTCCCTTCTGTTTTGTTTTGTTTTGTTTTGTTTTTCTTTTTCTTTTTTTGGCGGGAGTTATAACCAGAGAATTTTCTCTTACAAACTCTCATCAATATTGTATTTTGTGATGAATGATTAAAATAGTTAGGAAATGAATATTTTGAACTTTGAACTTTACTTGTCAATGAGCATTGGACTGGGAATAAGGAAAGCAGTTTATTTTCTGCTGTCACCTTTCAACCATTCCTTATCTAGCTTCAGTGTAGGTGTGGTGTCCTGACCCTTTCACAAACTCCTTGAGAATGTCCTAGTAGATTGATGTAAGGTATAAAATGTTTGGAATTTGAGCAAATGAAAGATGTTGAGGTACAAATGACATTTTAAAAATATGTCAGTGATATTATCTATACATTGAAATTTTTCTTGTATGTGCATATTGCTAGATATTGTTTTCTCCTCCTCCATATTTTGTAGATGTTCTGTTGATATTTTTATCTTACTTGAATGACATGAACAGAACTGTTGCATCATGTAGATGTCTTTTTACCCGGATATCTTCCAGCTTCTGAAAGTGCCTTGTGCTTTTCTTTCTCAGCCATATAGCTTCCTTGCTACCCTGTTTAAACCTTGTACTTTGAACCCTTGTAACCCTATCATCTCCCAGGTTTGTGTCTCATTTGCTGACGAAGAAAGATCTAATACTAATACTTTAGTTTACTTTTCATCTTTCATTAACATTATCATGCCTTTGATTTAATTTACCATAAATGTGGATAAATGAATGCCTCTCTCTGCAAGCCTGAATTACCTTAATGAGAGTAGATAAGTACGCAGTTCCCCAGAATGAAGCAAAAATACTTGCCACTTCTGTAGGACAGGTGAATATTTAATTATTTTGACACACTTTGGGAATAAAGTACTCTGAGCTCCATAAATGTTGTCCCTCCATCCCCACCTATTTTCAAAAGCAACATGGTTAGCCAGAAGAAAAATAAGGCCAGACCATACCTCATTGTTTTCTCTCTCAAATTTGTCATTCTCAGTTTAATTCTCAGATATTTGCTCTTACACTAGGTGGTTGGGAAGTTTTCTGTGTGTTGTTTTCATAACATGAAAAATGCCTTTTTAATAAACCAGTAGAACTACTTAATTTAGTATAGAAAATTTTCAGTGTATTCTTTGTACCAAAAATACTTGAGTTATAATTTGTATATAGTAAAATGTACAATCTTAACATGCACTACTTAATTTTGACAGATGTATGTACCCGTGTAGTCATCACCCACATCAAGATATAGAAGATTTTCATCACTCCAGAAAGTGCCCTTGTTTGATACAGAATTCTGGAAAAATGTATAAGATGGTTAAGAATACTTAATTTTTTTCTCTGCTATCTTCTCTACTACGAAAGTGAATACTGTTGATTACTAGTTTTACTCTAATACAGGGACTGAATGTTTTTAAAGTGTCATATATCTTTGCATATGAAGAGACCCAGATGTAAGACAGTCCTCCATTTTTTCAGTAAGAAAAAGTGTTTTGGTTAGCTTGAATACAGAAACTTTTAGGGATGTAGATGAAATATTTAAGTATCTGAATCACTCATAGATATTTTAAAAATCTTTTTAAAAACTTTATTTTGAGATAATTGTAGATTCACCAGAGGTATAAAAAGGTACAGAGAGATCTTACATATGTGTTCACCCATTTTGTCCCGATGGTAACTGCATATGCATATTTAAGATAATGGATTATATAAAATTATATGTAATTTTATGTATATGTAATTATATATACAATTATATGTAATTTTATATGCCCCAATACACATTTTAAAATGTTACTTTTTACACATTTATTATTATGAACAGATTTATTCAGATTCTTCATGTCTGCACAGACATCAGTCTTTAGTATTTACCAAATTATTATTTAATATTTGCCAAGCCATTTTAAAAGTTATTAACCATGGTTTTTCAGAGGATAGCATATTTGTTTTATTTTTCAGCTTTCAAGTTGTTTGAGATAAAACACTTTAAAATCTGTAAATGTTGCTAACACTGAAAAATTTATCCTAAGCCACAAGAATTCATTCATGTCACATTAGGAGAGTTGTCATCATCTTGACGTCATTTGTGATCTTCCTCACGTTTTGAGGCTATTTTACTGCATTGCTTTCTAGAAGATCTTCAAAGGCCTTCTTCAGTGGCAGCTACTATTTGTAATCACTTTCCAGAAATAAGTTTTAAATTTGTGTTTAAAACTGTATCCTCTCCTCCTTGTAAAACTAGTTTGGTGTAGTAACCCTGACAAAGTATCCAAGACTAGAGATGGCTTGACATCCTTCTGTACTTCAGTGTCTCTGACTAGTAACGAGAACTTCACTGTCTCAGCCATTTCACAGACTCTTAACTGGAGAGATGCCTCTGGGACTGTGACTCTACTTTCCTCCTTTGACATCCCAACCACCATTCATTTCTCTGGGCACGACTGCATGCTTGGATTTCTCTTTCTAACTTCCAGGGTTTTTTTTTGAAGCTTTTTCTTTTTTGGCCCTTGTTAGTATTTAGTATAAAATAATTGGTTTCTGTTTTAAAAGTAATGATTTAATTGCAAAGCAATTCTTTCTTTCTGAAAGATAATTTTAGGGAAGAAAACCTGTTGGGGGATGTATGGTGGGACAGCTGCAATCATTCTATATGTAGGGTGTGTTAGCGTTGATAACCTCATTAAGTTTCTCGTATGTGGAAAAATTATTTGTCATTTTTATTCACTTCATGGTATTTGTTTCTCCTTTTCTACAATGGCTTTCATTCATATATTTTAATTTTTTCTTCTTTTTCTTTTGACTAGTTTATTGATGACCGTGCCTCATCTTGTCCTCCGTAATTGTTAGATGGGGCTAGACTAAGCTTTTAGTAATATATACAGGGCCACACATGATAATGTGACTGGTTTTACATCTATACACTGTAACTGTTAGTGCAAGTACTTAAAACATACAAAATCAGAGGCATTTTGCTCTGGTGTCCTCGAATTTGGCCATAAAATGCTAAAACCACTGGTAAGTACAATAACCCACTTGGAACCTAAATTGTTGCATTAAAATTAGTTTTTAAAGTAATCAGGATCCATATTGCTACATTATAGAAATGAGTATCCCTTATTAACAGCTCCGTCTTTTCCATTGTAATATTTCCTTAAAAAGAAAATTTGCAGACATTGAGTGATTCAGAGTGATGTGTAACAGTTTGGACAGGCTGGTTGCACCCTTGAAAGCCTCCTTTGTCATTGCCAGCCAGGATGTCATCTGTTTGAACCAGTCTTTTTCTTGTGTGCCTGGGGTGAGCAGAGAGTGATGATTTAGTAGAGCTGTTGGCTGCTTCCTGGCTGCTGTAGGAAGTTAGATTTTCTGGCTATATGTGTATGAGGTGGCAAGCAGATTGTTACTAGTCTTTAATACT